TATGTATGTATGAACTCCGTTTAGAATTGAGCCAAAAATCAAACTTCAAACTTCAAATAGTGAATTATACAAAGCACTAGAGTACCAACGACTATAAATTGTACAAAAGCAATAATTATCTTTATTAGTTTATATCTAAAAATAAATTGAAGTTATTTGTGCTAAACAATATATTTTTCTATTTACTTTAATGACATAAATTATCGATTATCTGATATGAAGGGACGGTATATTATTATGCAATATAGTGACGTTTCGTTTCATTATAGGATGTCAGACACGGATATTGTCCAATTTTATACGATATAGGTATTCAGTATTGTAGTATGTATAGGTATTCATCATAACCCGACAAAAGACGCATTTAGGTGATGACTATAAACCATCGGATGTTCATTAATGGTGGCGAGATTATTTTGACAGTGATGATTAAATATATACATATAATATATAAAACTATAAAAGTGTAGTATAATCGCTATACGCTTTATYATTGAACATACATGTATGTATAGGATATGTAGAACTTTTGAACGTGTATACCACCTCGTTAAAGATATATTTAAGTCAAATACGATAATCGATTGATAGAAAAACTTTAGGCATCCTTTTAAAAAATTACTATTAAACGTACATAAAAATTTACAATTTACACCATACATACAATAATATACATTATAATATATTTGTATAGGAAAATAAACTTACATGCAATGTGCAGTTTTTYTTCGTAAGTATAATAGTGCGTTATTTCTTAAGCGATATAGTGAATATATAAGTATACCATCACTTGAGAACCACTTAAAAAGTTTATTTTGAAGTTAAATCGCATTTAATGAAAACGATTTTTTCTCTCTTTAATTATTTATTATAACGTTTACTCATAGTCATGAATGGCMATTAGCCAGGTAAATTAAATCGCACTTTAAATAATAACGTCTCCATAAGTTTCACAAACAATTTTCGCATTCGTCGGATTCTAAGTAGCCAGCTTCTTTTTTACAGGATGAAAAGCTATAGTTGTTCATCTAAGTAATTAAATAGTTTTAATTTAAAGTCTAAAAAGAATGATGATATGCATTCCCACGTCTTTTTGTTTATTTAAGTTTATAATTTCGTCTAAAAGCAAACTGACCTTTTTAAATCAAGTTTGAAAATTAAATAAASTATCTATCCATAAATATATTAATATAATATTATGCACACATAATATACCTATCCTTATATTTCCCCGMATTTAGACTTTAAACGAAAAAACTTATAAACTCTATTAAAATAAAAGTTTAAAAGTTATTCGTAAGTATGTAAATATTGACTATTTTCATAGTGTGTTTGTGTGTATTATATACTATATTTCAAAAGTATAATAATATGTYCATTTATTAATTACTCATTATGCCACTATTGAATCATCTCATAATAGTCATTACTCATTAATCATTTTCATTTGAGGATTTTTCATTAATTAACTAAAACAAAACAACTCAAGCATGATGAGGTGTATTTGATGTTGCAAATTCAAAGATTATAAGTACAAACTTAATAATAATTTAAATGAAATATACGAACTGGCAAAAAAAATATTCAGTTATAACTTCCAGAATATTTAATTTATTATGTTTGATCATGAAAAACTTATTCATAAATGCTACAGTTTTATTTTCAACAACAAAAGTGTTCACACTGAATATTGTAGTTAATTTAACTTTTAGTGGAGTTTCAATTATATTAACTATTATTGATCATTCTATCAAATAATAATAACATATTATAATGAATAATCAAAAAACGAATTAAAATAAATATTATTTTTTAATTATTAAATTCATATTAATTTATCACATATCACAGCAGTAGTAAGATATTAATTTTTTTGTAACTACATTCTATAAATTATAATTGGCATACACAATTTTTATTTTCATTTTAAATTTATTTTATTAAATTCTGACAGTTTATATTTTATAGTTTTAAATTTTAGTCCATTATACTAACACAATGAATAATAACGCTATTCGTATTAATTTAATTTTGTTAATCCTGTATAGATATGAATACCTGTAAGAACCCAATATGGTGGGACTCATTGGAAACGTGTAAGAATACACGAGAATTATACAAACATTTTGGAAACAGATTATAGTTAACTGATCATATTGGTGAATTTCAATTAAGTATTAGTATTTCACTAAATTTATATTTAAAAACAACTTATACTACTTAAAAACATTAAAACTCGAGCATTAGGAATTAGCATTGGTTTATGTTTATTATGTA